TCAGTTTTGTCACAAAAATTTATAGTTCAATTGCTCTAACTATATATAAACCATACAGTTTATACCTATTCTACCACATGGTCAACTAACAAAATATACACATTGACTATTTTATCTAATATATTTATATACTATTTATATATGTATAAACACTATATACATATAAACTCTTTCCAAATTTTATTTTGATTGATAGAATGTCACAGCTGCTTATCAATTATAAATTATGGATGCAACAGAAACAATTCCTAGAATATTTTTCTTTTCATTTCATTTTATTTTATTTCATTTCCCAGGCTGGAATGCAATGGCATACTCACAGCCACCACAGCCTCAGCCTGCTGGGCTCAGGAGATCCTTTCCGAAGAGGCTCTCTTTTTATACAGTTGACCCTTGAACAACATGGGGGTTAGAACAAGGGACATGACCCCTTGTGCAGTCAACAATCTGCATATAACTGTTGACCCCCCAAAATCCAACTACTACTAGCCTACTGTTGACCAGAAACCTGATCAATAACGTAAAGAATCAGTTGACACATATTTTGTACGTTATATGCATTATATACTATATTCTCAGTAATAAAGTAAGCCAGAGAAAAGAATGTTATTAAGAAAATCATGTGGTGGGATGCATCTGTAGTTTCAGCTACTTGGAAGGTTGAGGCACAAGGATTGCCTAATCCCAGCAGGTTGAGACTGCAGTGAGGATGAGCGTGCCACTGCACTCCAGACAAGGCGATGAGAGTGAGATTCCAACTCAAAAACAAAAACAAAAAAAGGGGGGGGGAATCATAAGGAAAAGAAAATGTAATCACTATACATTAAATAGAAGTGGATCATCATAAAAGGTCTTCACACTCATTATCTTCACATTGAGTAGGCTGGGAGGGAGGAAGAAGAGAAGGAGTTGGTCTTGCTATCTCAGGAGTGACAGAGGTAGGGGAGGTGGAGGAGGTGGAAGGGGAAGTAGGAGAGGCAGGCACACTCAGTGTAAATTTTATTGAAAAAAATCATATATAAGTGAAAATTCTCCATTCAAACTCATGTTGTTCTAGGGTCTACTGTATTTTGAGAAATATCTGCTCACCAGAGCCAAAAATCTGGGGCACCAAACACTGGCAGCCCCTCTTCTCTTGATCCCCACAGTGAGTCTGCATCCTCCTCTTTCTCACCCTCCTGAACCTCTTTGGGCCTCATCTCTAGGAGCAGGAGCCCTGGCTCTCCTCCCCACGTGAGCTTGTCCAACCTACCCAATCCTTCACCTGCTGCTACAGAGAGCATCTGACCCGCCGTTGGGTGGCCATTTCATCAGGTACCTCAACATCTTCAAGACCCCCATGCCCACAGACACCCTAAAGGATAGAATCTAAAATCTTTGCAAGACTTATCTCAGGATGTTGTCTACTTTCTCCCTGCAGCCTTCTCTTCCAGCTCACCCAACCAGCAGGAGGCCTGTGGACCCTCAGAGCTACATGTGCTGTTGGTTCTTCCACGTGAGAGGTATTCCACCCCAGGTAACCCCAAGAAATCTCTACTCATCTTTAGCTCTCTGCTCAAGCATTACCCCCACCATACCCCTTGCTGCATCACCAGGAACATCAAATTGCTCATTCATCTGTACCCACCGCACCCACTTCATATACACCCCAATAGGGCTTACTCTGTTTTCAATCTTTACCAAGAGTATTCTTTCTGCACTCAGGTGCAGGGACTGCTACTTATTCCCCAGAGCCCAGCTGCATAATGTTATGGGATGTATTGTGTCTCCTCAAAATTCATATGTTGATGTCCTAACCCCTACTACTCCAGGATGTAACTATATGTGGAGACAGAGTCTTTAAAGAGGTAATTCAGTTAAAAAGAAGAATTCAGAATAGCTCCTAACTGGTGTGACTAATGATATCCTCTGAAGAAGAAGAGATTAATACAAAGATACACAGAGGGGAAACCAACTGAACACACAAGGAGAAAACTTGTCAACAAGCCAAAGAGAGAGACCACAGAAGATATCCACACTGCCAACACCTTGATCTTGGACTTCCAGCTTTCAGGACTGTGAGGAAATAAATTTCTGTTCTTTAAGCTGCCCATCTGTGGTACTTTGTTAGAGTAGCCCTAGAAAACTAAGACATTTTTGAATATTGGTTGAATAAATAAACTGTCTGGAATAAATGAATAAGGAGTAGCAGGATGAAAGGCTAGAAAGTTAGGATGAAGAAAGACATGGAAGCTTTTGCATCCCTAAGCTAAAGTAATGAAAATAATTTCATAAAAGATGAGATGACATGGAGGACTTTTAGTAGAAAAACAGCATCATTCATTCATTATTCAAGTGAAAAACAGGGCAGCAGTGTGGGGCATGTATATATAGAATGTCACATGGTAATCAATATCATTTTTTAAACATCAGGGTAAGAGAAAAGAGAGGGTTCACAAGAGGTGGATGCAGACAGAGATGTTTTAGGATGCTCAGGAAGGGGTTGTCCCATCGTTATAAGGTGATGTTTGAGAAGAGCTGTGATGGCAGTGAGGCAGGCAGCATGCCAAACCAATAACAGCACAAGAGCAATTGAGACAGAAGGAGTAACAGGTGCAAAGGTTCCGAGGCCAAGTGCCTGTTTTTAGTGTGGCAAGGAGCAGCAACGGGACCAGTATGGCCGGCACAGTGCAAGGAAAGATGAGACACATAGGACCTTTTACTTTATTGTCTAAAGGAAGAGGGTTTGAGCTCGAAGGGGAGTATGAATAACAAATCTGAGGCAACAAGCACAAGATTTATAAGACTTACAAAAATATTAATCACACCATTGCAGATCACCATAACCTTTGGATTTTACTCTCGGTGAGGTGGGAAGTCCTTGAAGGGTAGGGCAGGCACAGACAGGCCAGGACCCAGATACATTTCTAAAGAGGACTGGTCGCCACATGGATAATAATCAGATTGGGCACAAGAAGCCAGTGGAGGACTGGCTGAAAGCAGGGGTGCTTAGGAAACTATGACAATGACCCAGGGGGCAGGTGGGGTGGGGAAGATAAGCTTTGCAGAAGCAAGCTGAAGGAATTGGAGGAAGGGGAAGGAAAAGCTGACCTCAGGCAGGAAGTCCAGCTGCAGCCTTGGCATCTCTGGGCAAGGCGCGATGAAGAGTGACCTGAGTCAGTGGGGGTGAAGAAGAAACAACAGCAGTTGGAAGTGGTGCAGATGGAAGGATGGAATGGCACATCCTCACTGCAAATGCTTCCCTCGCTTTCCAGCAGTGTCACCAAAAGTGCACAGAATAGGTCATGAATTTTCAAGACTAATTTCTCTTTTTCTATTGTTCGAGTGCTAGAATCATCAAGGCAGAACACCACCCTGAAGTACATACTTGAAAAAGGGGTAGAGAAATGAAATCATACAGAAAAACATGACACCCCAAATCCCGCATGCTTTCACCCTCCTTCAATGGAGATTATAAATATTTATTTTTAAAATTAAAGCTTGGCCGGGCTCGGTGGCTCAGCCTATAATCCCAGTACTTTGGGAGGCCGAGGCGAGTGGATTTCCTGAGTCTGTGGGCTCACGATTAGCCTGGGCAAGTTGGTGAGACCTCAAAATTTAGCCGGGTGTGGTAGCGCGCACCTGTAGTTCTGGCTACTTGGAAGGCTGAGGCGGAAGGATCACCGGAGCCCAGGTAGTCAATGCTGGGGTGGCCATGAGCGTGTCACTGCACTCCAGCCTGGGCAATGGAGTGAGACTCCAATTCAAAAAAAAAGGAAAGCTTGCAAAAATATTGTAAAACAGCAATAATGTTAAACATTCATTACATTCACATTTTTTTCTTAGGTATGTACAGTCAATTCCCATTTATATTTGCACACTTGCCTCCTGCTCCAAGCAGCCCCCTCCCCCACATTATCCTGCCCTGGTTGACACTCTGCTTTGCAAAGTTTGTCAATTGGGCTTGCCAAGGATGCAGCACTAACCCCAGGGGGCCAGAGACACACATCTTCCCAAGGGAACAGAATCCAGCAAAGAACAGATGGCCTGCATACTTAACTGCCAGTGTTTTCTGAATTGATGGCCCAACCACTGGATTAATGCTTCCACCCCTTTTACTTTCATTCCTCCACCTCCCCCCCAAACCCTCCTTCCAAGGTCATTATCCTCAAACACCACTATGTTCTCTAGCCAGGAACCTACTGTCTCTCCCTTTTTCCTTGGGCCTAAGCTTCTATCAGTCTCTAGTGAGATGGGTGTTCTTCCTTCTGCCTTGGTGACCATCCTGGATACCTATTTCTTTTCCACCTCCCTCCACACATGTGCTCCCTACTCTGGATCTTCATGTTCTTCCCATGAACCAATCAATATCTTACACATTCTTCAAAGCCCTACCTGGACTCCTTTGCTCCATGCCTTGTACAACCAGTTGGTGAGCATGATCTGTTCCTTCTAATTTTGAATAGTCTTTGAACCTGGACCTTCCTGGCCCATATGCCATACTGGCACAGCCATAAATCAGGCATTCATCACCTCTTGCTTACAGTGGCCCCTCTGTGTTCAATGGTGTAGCAAGGGCTACCTTCCAGATCTCAATCACAATTCCCTGCTCACAAACACCTACTTACATGGTAAAGTCCAACTCCTTAGCATCACCAATAAGGTTCTTGACAGTTTTCCTGCATACCTTGGTGTTCTTTTCATTTCAGAGCACTTGTATGAACCCTTTGCTCCAGATACACCAAGCTTCCACCAATAGCCTATGTCCACACTTTCCCACATTTGCTCATCTCTTCCCCACATCACAGACAACGAAAATCAAACTCAGTACCTTCCCTGAAAAGCCTTCACTGGCATTCCCATTGTGGGTGGCTGTTTCATAACTCCATAGTTAACAGCATTTGCTAATTTTTTCTTCTTATAAATGTATATACACGGGTGATTTTTTAAGCATTTCCTGTCATCTTCACTTATTTACACAATGGGCAGAAGCAGGAGGATAAATGAGATAGTTTACTAACTTGTTGACTTGCTGATGTAGCTTCCTCTTGGTCCACTGGGGTGCCTTTATGGAAGCAAAGAGTAGTAGGTGTTCTCTGACGGTGAGGTTGTCCAGCAGGACGTCCTGCTGCAGACACACGCCCAGCTCCATTCTGACCCTAGCCAAGTCTGTCTGCAGATTCTTGCCATTGATGATGATGGTTCCAGAAGTGGGAGGGTGGAGCCCCGTCAACATGGATCTGTCAGAGAAAATGAGTCAGTGCAGAGAACACACGGAGGATGCAGGCTGCTAAACATCAGTAAGCCAGGCCCCGGGGTGATGCGTGTATCCTGCCAAGAGCACACAACTTATGCTGACCTGTTTTTACACAACCAGTTAAAAAGTTATGAAGAGCTAAAGGGGAGGTTGACTGGTCAACCTTGGAAATGTGGGCTCAGGATAATATTCCCACTCCCTCATGATATACAGATGCTTCTCAAGTTATGATCAATTTACATCCCAATAAACCCATCAACAGTTGAAAATATTCTTAGTCGAAAGCACATTCAATATACCTAACCTATAAAATATCACAACTTAGTCTAGCCTGCCTTAAATGTGCTCAGACACTTATATTGGCCTACAGGTGGGCAAAATCATCTAACACAAAGCCGAATGCTGAATATCTCATGTAACTTATTAAATACTGTACTGAAAGTAAAAAGCAGAATGGTTGTACAGGTACTCAAAGTATGGTTACTTTATGAAGGTATGAAACTTTCACACCTTCATAAAGTAAAAAAAGGATTATAACTTGAATTATTGTAAGCCTATCCTGTGCGCATAGACCATTATATCATATAGGACTTTAAGTTAGCAACATTCAACTTGGCTTTTGCAGATGAGGAAACAGGCTAAATAAATGACATATTTACCTACATCTTTATATTAATAATTAGACATAAACAAAATAGAAATGTAAACTTAGACTCCCATCCCTGGGGCCAGTCACCCTTCTGCTCCCCTGGGCTATCTGTCCTTGTCAAAACCACAAGAACTCAAGCAGCCTGACGTCAGAAACTCAGGCATCCAACTTCATCAAGGAAGCCTGAGGAGTGCCTAATTCTGCTTCTTGTTTCAGAAAGTTTATTATTTATGTTTTAACGTTTTTCTTATTTCTGAAAAGTTAAACAGGGACCTACCTAGGACCTAGCAAATCCACTCCTAAGTACCTAAGAAAAATAAATTAAAATCTGTGCCCACACAAAGATATGTACAAGAATTTCAGAGCAACTTGGTTTGCAATCACTTTAAAGGGAAAACAATCTTAACTGACGCCAACAGATGAAAATATAAACGGTGGTGCATCCATTCAGTGGTAACACTTGGCAGTCCTAAGGACCAAGCTGCCGACACACTGCCACCATGAATGAATCTCCAAAATGACCTGCTGAGCAAAAGATGCCAGACACCATTCCACTTATGTGAAATTCTAGGATAAGTAAACAAGTTTATAGTCACAAAGAGAAGATCACTGGTCATGTGGGGACCAGGGTCAAAGGAACCTTAAAGGCAGATAGAAAGGCTCTGCATCTTCACTGTGGTATTTGTTACAACACTACTAAACATGTCAAAACTCATCAAACTGTATACCTCAATGGATACTGCTTGCTGCACATAAATTATATGTCAGTAAACTTGATTAACAACTCTTTGCACTATTATTTCCAAACCCACTTGGGAAATACCATAGAGTAGTTTATACACATTCCATATGAGCCTCAAATATTTTTCTTTTAAGTAGTGAAGACCTAGTCTATTAATTGGACTCTTAGCCTCTCATCTAAGAATTGCCAGGAAAAGGCAACTACTTAGGATGACTCAAAATGTACTACAAAGTACACTGGAAGCAATGTAGTCACTGAGCCTTGACACATGGAGAAACTCCAGATTTCATTCTCATCATCACTCTACTAAACAAGCACTCCAGGTTAACCTTGTAAGGAACATGTCTTAATAAAATAGGATGTGGAGTGCTCGCTCTCAGAATCATTATTTGTGTAAATTGTACTTTCCCAACTTGCAAACACTAAAAAAAAAAAAGCAACAGAGAGTTTTCCAGTTCCATTTTCACATCCAAGGAACAACAACAAAAAATTACTGCCCATATTTTTTCTTTCCATTTGCTTTCAATATGAAATCTCTGAAGCTGCATGTATGTTATTCTTCTACTTTTCTTAATGAGTTTAAGGCAAAGTCCTTTTCATTATTTTAATTAATCATACTTTAATCCTATGCATTTAGTGAGAAAAAAGGCAAAGAGAAGGGAAATTATTCAAAAGAGGCATTTCATAATTTCAGTAACTTAACCTTTAGCCATCATTTCCACAACCAGCTCAATGCTATAGCCACTGGATCCTAGACCAAACATTAGGCCTTAACAAAAAAAAAGCAACCACATAAAAATCAGATCATGGAGCACAATATTCAAGTGTTTAAAAATTTGGAAATATTACTCTGATATTCATCTCCCTATAGACACACAAGCAAAATTACATTTAGTAAGACAAAAACTAAAAGTGTCACTGAACTGGCCATGACTCAAGTAAAACATGGTACACTATAGAAAATAAAATAATTAAAGATTTTTTTAAAAAATTATCTACCTCTACCCATGATTCTACTCTAGTCTTAAAGTGTAGTTGAGTGATTGAGGACACAAGGTCACTCGCACAAGAACACTTGTGAGAGGGCTCAGTCTTTCTCTTATGTCTCTAAACTCTATACTGAAATTCAGAATTTTTCAAAGAAGTCAAACATCTGTCTTGCAGGTAAACTGATATTTTGTAAGAATTAAACACCAAGTGTTTTATAAAGGTAAAATGGGACCCACATGGTCGTGGTTTTCCCAGCCCCATTTGTCCCCAGCAGGGCGGTGATCTGGTCTCTGTGGAAGGTGAGGGTGAGGTCTTGGACCACTGCCTTGTGGCCCTCGTATTTCTTGGTCACAGATACCATGGTGACCCCCGGAGGACCTTCTTCAAGCTTTTCTTCACTGCTTGGTGCAGATGACCCTTTGAGGGAGAGGCAAATTCATTGTGAGAGGATTGTAAAAGCCCCCAAAGAGTATTCACACTTATTCACTCAGTGTTCTGTTTTGAAATTGAATTCTAGCTCTATGAAACATTCAAAGGTATTCAAAAAATCTTTATCCCAAACAAGAAGTAGACTACATAATAGCAAAAATTGAGTGAAATCACTAGTTACACAGTTTGAATTCTTATGATAACCATTTTGAAAAAAAAAAAAAGGCAAAACACACGTATTTGTGTATTTGTGTATATGCAGAGAAAAAAACAATAGGTTTAAACACCAAAATGTCCATTCAAATAGTCTCCTGAGGAGGTAAGAGTTGATAAGTGCTTGTTGATGTGTTCCAAATTTTCTAAAAGATTTATGTTTTATTTGCTTAATCAGAAAAAAAACGTACTTCCCAATATTGACTCCTAATAAAAGCCCATCTCAGAGCTTATCTATCTCTGGGTGTTGCATGTGTACTTCCATGTAGGTTTCCTCTGAAGTCATCCTTTGGCAGAAGTGCCCATGAGCCTGAGCCCCCAGGAAGGGGCTATGACTGAAATACAGAGGGATAGGGCCAGTCCTGTCCATCTCCTGGGAACTGCATTTCCTACTTGTAAAAGGCAGTGATGGTCTCTCACACAGGAGCGCTGAATAAGCTAGTATGTGTGAAAATACTTCAAACTTTCTTTTTTTTTTTGGTGTTGGAGGCTCACTCTGTCACCCAGGCTGGGGTAGAGTGACACACTCATGGCCACCCCAGCATCAACCTGCTGGGCTCCAGCAATTCTTCCACCTCGGCCTTCCAAGTAGCCAGAACTATAGGTGCATGCTACCGTGCCCAGCAAATTTTTTATTTATTGTAGAGATAAGGTCTCGTCAAGTTGCCCGGGCTGGTCTCGAACCCGCAGGCTCAGGCAATCCACTCACCTTGGCCTCTGAAAAGGCTGGGAGGACAGGCTGAGCCACACTGAGTCCAGCCAATACTTCAAACATTCTAAAGCACATTCCCCTGGAGCTGCCCACCTTTGCTTTTGTTTTTCACAGATATTCATTTTAGACGAAAGCTTCAATTGTACTAAGTCACAATATATGTACAAACACACATAATGCACAGAGGGTAGGACACTAAGTAACAGGCAGTGAAAACATCTTGGGGTTCCCAATTTCAAGGAGTGTAGATGTTTCAGGGGATCCTGACTCACAGCTTGTCCCTGAAGCTGCTTCCCAGCCCAAGACAGCCTGGATGTGAGTTGCTAGGAACTGGCACACAGTTGCAAAGGCTAGACCAGTGATGGAAAACAGAAATCAAGACTGACCAGAGCTCAGCACTTTGGGAGGCTGAGGCGAGTGAATTGCCCGAGCCCGCAGGTTCGAGAACAGCCCAGGCAACTTGGTGAGCCCTCGACTCTTCAATAAATCAAAAATTAGCCGGGCTTGGTAGTACGCCTGTAGTTCCCACTAATTGGAAGGCTGAGGCAGAAGGATCGCCGGAGCCCAGCAGGTCGGCACTGGGGTGTCATGAGCGTGCCACCGCACTCCAGCCTAGGTGACAGAGTGAGACTCCAACTCAAAAAAAAAAAAAAAAAAAAACTGAGCAGAGGAAAAAGAAACACACACATTCAGTAGAGCTACTCCTTACAAACCTTTACTGTCAACATTCTCATTGATGAAGAACAGGCCGGATCTCACCAAGCCACCTACACTCTTCCAATAGGAGGTGGTAAAGGGGAAGAACCATGGTTTCCTTAAGCCAAATGTTCCTAAAAAAAATAGAATGCAATTAGAACCAGCCTAACTGTTTTATTTAGATGAAGATTCTGTCTTAGAATATGTTAACTAATTAATATAAAATGTCATTCCACGTTAATATTTCCAACATTCATTCCCACATACAATCCACTGACACCCAGGGGATAGCATAGGAGCCTTACAGTGGGTCCCCAGCTCTTCCTCTTCCAACGATTGAGGTCCTCTGCTAAGATGCCCTCGCATTCACTTGCCCCAAAGGCCTTTAGGTAGGTGTCCAAGGAACATTTGTTTGAACAGCGACTGAATACCCCCCAGAGTAAAATCTCACCCATCCCACATTGCCCCGCTACTTTGCCACTGCTCTTCTTCTGCTTATTTTTATGTTTGCGTGGATTCCCAGGCAAGAGAAAGAACATGAAGTGAGAGCATGAAGGGATTACTCAATCTGAAACTTCCGCAAAGAATGATTCATAATGCAAATATTTCCATATGAAACATAGCACCGTTGTCTAAAAGTATTATCCAGATTCATTTCAGCCCATTTAACAGTCACTTTGCCCTCATTACATGTCAAAATGAAAGAGGATTTAATTATTAACACCCCCCAATTTCCTTTAACACATCCCTTTTAGTTGAAGTTTGATGAATGCAACTTACCTAAAGGCCTAAATTCCAATTGATTGGAATAAAAAGGCCTACATAAAGACTATTTTAGCACTTTGATCATCAAGCAAAAGAGAGATAGGCAAGCTCTTATGCATTCTAATCAAAAGATTCAAAGAGATGATCACGCACTCTAAGGAAAGCACATGTATTCACCACCTTTTGAAGGTGAAGGGTGGGTGTTGAGCTGCTATGAGGCTTATATTAAGCTTTGGTTGTGGGCTAAGTCGTGTTTCCCCAGTTTTGTATGTTGAAATCCTAATCCCAGTGTTTCCAAATGTGATGTGTTTGGAGACTACGACTCTAGAGTGGTAATTAGGGCAAGATGAAGTCACAAGAATGAGTACTCATTCAGTGTGGCTGGAGTCCTTCTAAAAGAAGATTTGGACAGACACACAAAGGAACAACCACGTGAGGACCAGGGAGAAGACGGCCATCAGCAAGCCAAGGAGACAGACTTCAGGAGAAACAAACCCTGCTCACACCTTGATCCCTGACTTCCAGTCTCCAGAACTGTGACACAATACATTTCTGTTGTTTAAGCCCCTCAGTTTGTGGTGCTTTAATTCAGCAGGCTAAGAAAATGAATGCAAGCATGTGCTCTCTGAGACACTAGCAAATTAATAACCATTCCTTTGTAGGAATATGATGGGTAGCACCGGGATAATTAGGTCACCTCACAGCCAGCATTTCACCTGCTCTCTTGTTTCAGGTGCTGTCCAGGTCTTTATTTGTATTAATTCATATCATCCACCAATGTGCCAGGTATAATCATCATCTCTGGGAAAAAGAGGAATAGTGAGGCTTGCTAGCTAGTGGCTGGCTGATGGCTTCAGAAGCCATGCACAGGCCAGCCTCTCCCCTCATGGTTCCTGCCTATCTGAACACACACGTGTACTCGTAAGAATATTTGGGTGTCCCTTTTAAACAAGAAAGGAGACTGATTTTATCTCCAACAGTTTCTTCAACTACCTCTTACAGAATAAGCCTCCATTCACACATGTGCATGAGTAATGAGTTTGTGGACATAAGAGGAGATAATAAGCAAGCATACATCTGAGACGTTATCTTGAGGAGGCTGACCACTGCCTGGGCTCTCCCTCTTGCTTGCCAATTAGACATTCTTGTGCAGAGGGGCCTCTCAGGTAACCACACTCAGTCCCAGTGCGAGGGGGCACCACCTTCAACAAGAGCAGAAGGCAATGGGATTCAGATGCCTTGGAAAGCTTACAGATTTTGAATTAGTGACCAAAAAACATTGAGAAGAACACAAGATGACAGGATCTTGTCCTCATAGGATTTCTACAGACAGAACGGAAGCAGGCCCCTCAAGCAGAAGAGAAGGTTCAAGAAAGAAAAAGCAGAAAGATACAGACTTTCTGCTAGACTCCTTGCTAGACTTAGGAAATTCAAACACAGATTACCCAATTTGAGTTGACAATGATAATGCTTTAAATTAAGTATATCCCCCAAATTATTTACCATTTGTCTGAAATTTGAATGTAACTGGGTGCCTCATTTTATCCGGCTAACCTAAATCAGGGTGCTGGGCACATTGGAGACTGCCTCTCCCCCACCAACGTGACTACAATGGAGAGAGAGGTGTGGCTCTGTAGTAGAGGAAGTTAGGGTGACTGGGAACCACCAAAATATCAACCTATAATCTACAGACATTTTGGAGTCAGAGAAGACTAGTAAGTAGGGAAGGGGCATGGGTCCACCTGGTCTTTCTTTAAGAAAAACAACATGGAGAGGTGAAGGGCATAGCTGGGTGTAGTCAGAGTCATGGGCATGAGTCACAAGGGCACTGAACTGTGCAGGTACAATGAATCCTGGCTTTAGAGACAGAAAGAAGAAGCAAACTATGAGAGACTTTTCAGAGTCAGAAAAAAACAGATTAGAAATAAATTGAATATTAAGGGCTGATTTGCTAATTAAACCATAGCAGCCCTAATCTGTCTGGACCTTTAAAATCCTCCTAATTAATCCACTGATCTAACTAAAGCAAAGAGCTGCCAAGTCCAAGTTGGCGGGGCAGCCGCTTAGCTCCTTGGCCTGCCTCTGTGGTCTGCTTCCGCTTATAAATCCAAACGTGTTTTATGTGCACACTCCAGACGCACTTGCAACCTGCTCACATTACCAAATGTAATTGGGCACATTAATATGTGTAAAGGCCCTCCATTTACACTGAGCTTTCCTCCTCAAGGGGAACTGCCTGCTGGCTCATGCAGGCCAGGAAACTAATTAGCATTGCCCCCCAAAACTGACAGTGATAAAAGAAGAAGTCAATGAAATTAGACAGATCGAGCAGAATCAAATTTAATTGGAAGCACATAAAAAATAGTTTATGCAATGAAAACTCTTTGAGAGGACCAGATGTTTGCTTGTGAGCTCTCCACTTGAGCACGGAGACCTGCAATTGACACTGAGTCCCGCAGGCCAGGAAATGGTCTGATGCTGAATCTAAGGGGTCTCCCAGTCAGACATCAGGGCTGAGAAATTTGGGGGTCATATCCACACAGTCACTTTATAGTCAAGAAAAAAACAATAAAACGGAGCAAAAAGCATTTGTTTGGGGGCTCAGTGTGTGTGTGGAGGGAGAGAGGGAGCAGGGAGAGAGGGAGAGAGAGGGAGAG